GGTGAGACTCTTTGCAGTGGCCGGCAATTCTTTTTAGCTAGAAGATCGTTAATCGTGTTTTTGACAATGTCTTTATAATAATTATACTTTGTAAAACATCTAGCAATATGTCCCCTACAATGTACTTTATGATGTGTCTTTATAATATACTTTGTCGTCAAATTTCAGCTTAGGAGGAATTCATATCCACTACCAAGCACACCCACATCAGATCCTGAGTCATACCTGGACAAGATATCTCGGAAATACATGACAAAATTTGTGGTGCGTTGCGTGTTTTCATTAAATAGAAAAAATTTTCAAATTTTTTATCATGTAAAACCTGCTTTTTGTTTAATTTTGAAAAGACTAAAGCTAATAATAATCTGCTTCTGTACCTCAACTTGTTGTACTTCAGTATAATGCAGTCTTACGATTATCAAGATATATTTGTCCACTAATGTGTTTCCAGATTCAAGATACATATATTCAACAGATAATTAAAATAATTGAGATACTTTTATTTTTCAGACAGGAACGATTACTGACGACATGGTGAAGAGGTTTCGGAACTATGTTATCCTCTACACCCTTAAAGATGTTATCCGAGAAGTTGTGAATCAGTGCATGTGGCGAGATCGTGCAACCAGAAACCAAATCGTCCTTCAATCATAGCGTACTGAATTATTACAGATACTGCAAATGTTGACAATATATATGAGCACTTTGTCACGTGCACTCATTGTGACTCCTTAAAGGTTGGGGAACACAAGCGAACTTATCGTATTAGTGTTGTCATAAACAATAAACAGAGAAGTTATAGAAACGATAGTCACATTATGAAAATAAGTTTTCTCTACTTATTACTTTCTATATCTTGGATGGTCGGAGTCCTCATCTTTATCTCACTCTATAACCATTACAAGGCCTGTTCCTGTGAAGCATATGTTAACTGAAAGAGCAAATTAATATTACGTAATATGCCAAATCGTTCTTCTCTACCGTACGATTTCAGATCACCGAGAAGAAAAGTTTTCCTGGATTTACAAAGAGGTTAAGAAAAGGCTAAATTCATGATAAACCTGCATTAAAGAAAGCGTAAGGACTCCTAACGTGAACCCTGACTGAGCGACTTGGAGATTTACTCGCAAACGCTGTTTAGCAAGCAGCTTAAAGTCACTGAATAATTCGTTTTTTATATATATCTTATGGCGCATGATATAAAATGCTTCTTATATCACACTGTTCTGTTGGCGATCTTCTAAGTTCGACCGGAACTTTAACGCCCATGAATCGCTAATGAAAACTCACTCATACATTGAGGAAAACAAGGATTAGAACATAGTTTCTCCGGATATGATTTCAAAAGATTAGTATTACAAACCTATTTGCACGAGACACAAGGAAAGAAAGTCTTCTCAGCTATTCTTAGCAGGGCATTTTTAAAATGGAGATCAAATAAACGTTTGACCTCTAAATGTGATGAAACACACTTAAACGCCACGCTGCTCATGCATGGGTTGGGATACATTTGCGGAAGTAATAACAAGGATTCTATAGAAGGGGGCGAGTGGTTCAGTTCATGGTACAGTAAATGATCGTCGTTACGTCATGATTATTTAACCCGTACAGAGTTCTATAACTATCATCACCTATTTTTTTAATTCTATTAAGAAAGTACAACTCATCTTTCGCAAAATGTAAAGTCAATTCTTTGTTTTTTAAGAATCTAACATTTCTAGTAGACAACGAGGAATTCATTCAAATGATAAATCCACCTTCCTAAACCGTGAAATTATATGTTCATGCGGCGTCAAGTCAGCAAATTAGGACATATTGTTCATTCCTTCAATTTAGACTATTGAGCAGCCCTTGGCCTTTGCTTGATGTATTGATGAGAATAGTGACAAAGTACAAATAGATCGTCTATAACCAATCAAGGGCTTAAACCCATAAACTAACGACCCTGCTGGTTTGATATGAAAATAGAATCACGTCAACGCAGAAGTCACGTTGCAAATATTGCACACGCTCATTCAACCAGCAGGGCTCAGCGGGCGCTTTTAATAAAAAAAAAAATTACCGTTGAAGAGACGGAAACCGTAGACTAGGTCGACTTGCAAAGAGAAACACCGGTCTCGTGACCGATTCGATTAAAGGGGCTTTGCAGTTTTCGGGTTTTTTGAAACCGATAGGTAGAAATTGTTTAACCCACAGAACGCAAATTTTCAGCAATCTTTATGGAGTTTTATGGAATTTGCCTTTCTCGTGAATTCAACATGAATCTGTAAAATTGCATTGGTCTCACGAATTCAAAATTATTGCATATCAGACATAAAATACAAAACTGATCAACTTCATACAACAAGGCTGAATCATTTGACTACCACGGAAGGAATAGTTGACAAAGTTCAAAAGACACAGCAAGCCAACGACGAAATTTGAAAAAATGAGTCATCCGGAATATACCTAACAAAAAAAGCTTAACGAAAAGATGATGTAAAATAGTGAAACAGCTTCCTTTACGTTTCTTATAAAAGGCAGTCAAAATGCTCTTTACCTCCAATTTACTCAAGACACGGCAGAGAAAACAACGCAAGATTTCGAATCAGAGACATTTATCTACCAGAGATACTTTAAAAGAAAAGGGTAAGTCGTTTTGATTATTGTTATTTAATGATGGAATTTCTAGGCTCCTTCTTCCATTTACCACGAGAAAATATGTGTTTTATGTTAACAGAATGTACATTCAAAACATTGGGTCAAAAAAAGGATCACCTTCGAAAAGTGTTATTTTTTTTTCATTTGCCAGTCAGCTAATTAGCTGATCTTACCCAACTTTGCTTGAAATAACACCGTGAACCACTGGGAAAAATGTTGGTAAAAGATTACGAGTGCCGTGTTAATTGAATCATTTTACATATTGCAGGACACTACGCTGACTTTTCTAATATTTTTTTGTTTACTAGAAATGGAATTCTACAAGTCCTTGTTCGCTAACCTATTCATTGTAACTGCAATCAGCTCAGTGGCTTGGACAGCCCCGTTGAGTTATCGACCAAGTGATACTGAAATCGTCATCGGACTTTCACTTATGCCAAAAAGGGCCAATGCCACGAAAGAGGTTGGATATCAAAACTTGATTTCTATTGATTCTACTTCGCTGTTATGCTGACTGCGAAACAATGCTTGCAAACTTGCTCATAGTAAACTATCGCTATATTATCTACAGATGTTG